CACACCGAGAAGGAGAGAATCGGACCCGCGCAGCGGGATTTGGACCCACAGTGCATCGCAGAAGGGTGCAGGGGTGGTGTCAGCGAGGACAATCGTGATTGGTAGGCCCGCATGTAATTATGGCGCAACCCCACCATCCCTCCCCCGTTTTGAGTCGGCTTGAAAAATAGAGCAACGGTCTATCGAGATCCCCGCGTCAGGTGCATCTGGTGTGAGCCAAGTCTCTGTGAGTGCGATTATGGACGGTTGCTCAAGGCAAGCTGACTGTTTAAGATTGCCGAGTTTGTTGAAAAGGCCAAGGCAGTTTGTGGACAAGCATTTCAACACTGTCTCTGCTGCCTCCGAGGGTGAGGAGCCGAAAGTTGAGTGACCAGGAAGGTTTGCAGACTTAATTTTTATGAACCGGGTTTGAGTCTGAGTTCAACGCTCCAAGGGGGCCTCTGGGGCGATGCTGTCTGCTTCAGGCCTTTGTGGTTTCTAGGGGTGCCTTTCGCCTGTGAGGCTTTTTTCGCTCCATGGGAGCTCGGTTTGCTCGGGGCTTTTGGCTTTGGGGGACGAAGTTTTTTCCCCATGGGCAAAAATTTTGACCGATGCTGTTTGTGGCTCTTTCAGCATCCCTTTTGGTCGACCAGATTTGCTGTTGATCAAAGGTTTGCTGCAAGCTTTCGCCTTTCTGGATCCTTGGCTGCTTTGGCGCGGTTTGACTGGACAAGTGTCTCTGTGAGGCCCTGAGGGCTGGTTAGTGACACCAAGAAGTAATGATTTTGGTGGCGCTCCCAAGAGGCTCGTTTTCCCGGAGGACTGCACCTTGAAGCCAGCCAGCAGTTTTCTAATCTGGCGGGATTTATATGGCTTGTTTGGCTGCAGTCGCTCTTCTTTCGTGTTTGTGTAGACACCCAATCCGTCAGCGATCAGCGTGGCCAGCCGGGTGTACGAGGGATTTTCCGGATGGCTGTAGTCATATTTATGGCGTTGGTTGTCGGGGTCCTGGGCGACGGTTGTGTCCACAAGCAGAGAGGCCGCTTTTGACGGAGTGGAGCTGGAGATTGGCTTCGCTTCTTGTCTCCGCACATCACTCAGTCCAGTTCCGAGGCTGCAACTTTGTTGAGGAGTGCACGGCCTCATCTGTGTCCTTTGATACGGAGATAAGCGCTAATAGCTCCACGTAGTTTGGGCGCTGCTTGCACGTGGGGTTTGTCTCCTCCAGGGCGTCCCTGCCTTTGGTGGGCGAGAGGCCTGTGGTGATCGAGTAAAAACTGCTGTCCGGTGGCGCAGCTGGTTTCGTCGGCCTTGTTCGGGAGCACAGGGGGATATGACCACAATCGGCTTGGTAATGACGTTCGGGTCGTCCGATTTGGTGCCCGGTGGAAGCCGCTTTCGTGCTGCCACTCCTGACCTGCTATGACCAAGCTTACGCGCGTCTAGAGGACGATCCTCAGATAGGCGCCTGACCATCGTGCTGTTCTTTTGAATGCTGCCAGCCCGCTCCAAGATCATAGGGGATGGCGAGAGTTCATCAGGTTCATGAGTCAAACCAGGTCCGTACGGCATCACTCATACCTCTCTCTCTTTGGGTTTTACAGAAAAGATGCTGTTGCAGAGTTTAGCCCGAAATCTTTTGCTAAAAATGAGGTACCGCCTAGACCTCGATGGTTATGTTAATCTGAGAGGCATTTTATCCACCTTGTAACATTTTTTCATCTCTTGGTACTAATGTAAATTTTTTTCCATCATTTTTGTTCTTCGCTTTTCTGATTTTTTCTCTGTTCTTCGACAGAGTCTGTCACAGAGCACACGAAGAAACCCATTGCGTGATACACTCAATTCTCTTCATCGCAGACCACCATGCCAGAGGTTTCGAAAGACAGGTAAAGAATTCCTGTGTTTGTTGACAGGGTCAAGTCAGTATACTTCAGACGGGGAATATGGCACTAAATTTTGGATGATTGCTTTTGTAACGCCATCAATTTATCGTTCAAACGCCGGAGCTGGGCCCGAGTGTACTTCATTCTAGATAGGAGAATTTTTGCTCTCAGGCAGATGCCAAATGCTAATTTGTTGAGGGGTCGTTTAAACCTTCCTGAGGCCGGAGTGTTTTTGGATAAAAAAGACGCTCCGTTTGATTTCAGGAACAATGTTGACGGTGCTGAAGATTCACATTTCATCGATCCTCATACCCATTTTAAGGGTGTAAAGATTCACCTAGTTGGCTATCGCTGCCTATTTACATACCTTTACTTCTGTCCCACCCAAATGTCGAAATGGGGCTGATGTCTGATCTGTTAGAATGGGTCGGAATGATAACTTGTATTTGTTCATAAAACCGAAAATAATGTTTCTTGTTTCCTTCATTACATCGTCAGATGTGTCAAGAATGATACAAGCTGGAAAAGAAACCTATTGTTGATATTATTCCAACTATTATTATAGCCATCCGGTCGCAGTGGCAAACTGAACTATGAAATAAATTTCCTATCATCCTTAACGCCATTCACTCCAGAGTTCAGGTTAATCTACAGACACAGTACCAAGTGTAGATCTCCCCGGCTTGCTGACAAGCCACGCTGAATGAGGGATCCAAGGATTCCGTCTATCATCGCATTTTAATCCAAAAGGTCTCGTCACTTATTGAATATCGTACGACCTTAACGTCCTTCGTTAAGACGAAAAGGTGGAATTTAGGCACACTGCCAGGACGTAAACGTACGCTGCAATTGGTAGATTTCCGGGTTTGAATCATTGTTGAACCTTACAATCGCCTACACCTTTGGCGCGGATGAGCAACTCACACCATCCGGAAAATCCTGTTCTTTAGATGGCCAATAGCTTAGTGAATGGCGATGCAAACTGTTTTGGGGGGCAACTGGCTGACCACAAACAACAATTTTGACGGAAATGATAGTACGTTTCCCCGGATTATCCTTCACGGGAGAACCCATTTCCTATTTCAGTGAACAAAGTACATATTTAAGGCAGAAGGGATCCTTGTAAAAGCCTTGTTTAGGGTCAAAAATGTCAGCGGTGTTTTCGTAACTTGTCAATTTTGTATTTGTACGAGTACGCAAACGAATCATTTCGCTAGTTTTTCGTATTATCAGCTCGTATTTTTACGAAAATGTATAGCATCCCTGTGACACCTTTCTGATGACATGCACTTCAAATTCCTGTGTAAGCGCGCCCTCAGTTTCCGCTAGAATTTTCGGCAAATCATGAGAGGGTGGATAGGAATGCTATCCGTCGCACTTAAGACAGAACACAATCTTACTTCTGCAAGCCTTGTGGGAATGCCAGATGTACAGGTTTGAACAATAACGATGGACACCAGCCATCCAGTTCTACTGACCCTTTCGTACGTATTTGTTACCTCTGTACTAGGGAACCACAAAACTTAAAACTAAAATACTTCTGCCAGCTGTGAAGCTAGGATCTATCAGTCTCTCAGTTGCCAAGCAATTTGTCCGCACCTTAAGAGTTCTTGAAAACTTGGGAAGAAGCGTCCTCGGACAAGCGCGCGGTCGCAATCCACAAAAGCGTTCCAAAACGACCGTCAGTCACTCAATAATCCGCACCATCGATAACTGATAGCAACGTGGTCGATTTTAGTTTATGGCAGGAGTGCCGTTTGAAAACACCATGTGGCCTGACGACCCTGGCTATTTCGGAGATTAGTACTGCACAAAAACAGTCTGCGATGAGCAGACGGCTCAGGCAATCGGTCAACATTGCCCGTAAGTACCGAGTTAAATCCATGAGTCTAGGATACGCTAAGCCTTCCCAGTTGTGCCTTCGAACCTCCAGCAACATCCACGAACTCTGAGCCCAACAGAGCATTCAGGGAGTCATATAACCTATCTCTGATGGCGTAGGAGCTACAGTAATTTTGGGCTTAAGAAGACAAGATGAACAGACATCGATCAACTTTCCGTTTTTTGACATGTTCACAAGCTTTACCAGATTGCGGGCACAAAGGCTATTATCAACAGGTGTCCATTCAAAGAAGGATACCTTCGTCCGGTGAATTAGCGCGACACCAACCCCTGCACATCCCACAGCAGCAGCCTCTGGAGCACCAGAGGTTTGTAGCCGAAAACGAGTGGAAAATGATGGTTGCCTCAACCACTGCGCTTTCATCTTTGATTCTTATTTCTGGTATAGAGCACACATAAATGCCAAGCAAGTCCATCGTTAGAGCAAGAGCAACTTGTTTTCCTGCTTGTTTCGGAGTGCGGAATTCAAGGGCGACCAAATAGACTGGGTATCACTTCTTGATGATTGATTTCGAGATGCTTTGGTATCTTGAAGAAATTTGACGAGCAGACGTTTAACGCAAAATCGATGCAAGAAAAAACGGAGCCATCAGTCTTAAGTGCTGGGTCTAGAAGGGGAAAGTTATGAATGGGGTGGGGAGAGAGGGAGGGAAAAGTATGAGAAAGAGACAGAATGGAGGCAATAGCAGTAGTCTGTTTTCGCTTATCCGCCCTGCTGTATGCGTTACGTAATGCGCTCGAGCCGATGGCACGCGACGGCCGATATGGCATGAGGGTATTGTTAACTGTATAGTGATTTTACCTTGGCTTGGATACTGTCGTGGGCCCATGCTTTGACAAGAAAAATAACTGAGGTCATCAATTAAATATTTTGCCTCCAAAGCCCAAACGCAAAGAAGCGGTGTTCAGCGGACAGCGCAAATGCATTGCCGTTTCTACGGAGCAAGACGCCACGTGTTCCAACCCCAACCTGGAGGGACATGAGACTGTTTAACAGACCTCCTAGCTTTTCCCAACCTGGTATGAGACTCTGTGAGTGCCGAATGAACTCCCTCCAGTATAACTTGATAGGTCTCCGAGGCGCGCAAGAAGTCACACCACAGTAAGATACAGTCTCTTTTTGAAGGGCAAGGCCCTCTAAGGAAGAGGTGATGGTGGATGCCACGAAAGCTAACTGGAGCGGTGAATGAACATTGCTTGTAGGGTAAAAAGTGGTGGAGTTATTCCACTGAATTTGGACTGTGTCAGGGTCAGGGGGATACTGATGAGAATGAGAATGGTTGGAGAAATGTCCATGTCACTAGCTTTTAGGATGGGCGGATGGATACCGTTAGTGCCTGTAAAATCGGATCCTCTAAGGCCGACGAGTGAGGAAGTTTAGTTAGATAAAGTAACTGAGAGTGTGCAGAGGGTGGAATTCGTCTAACAAACGGCTGTGGTTGTTATGAAACCAGATCGAGAGCAACCAGTACAAAGAATCCATGCGGAAGTAACGTGGAAGCTGGCAAATTAGGACTACTAAAATCCATCGTGAGTGAGGTTATACAGTTCCTACTTAGTGCCAATTTCTAACCAATCAGCCTGCCAATAATGTTGTTCAGTGCATGCGCTTTACTACCCAAAATCCATAATCTTCGAGCAATTAGCGGCATTGTGCAACCAAGTATGATTTGTGTGACTGAAACATAGCTCGCAGATGAAACTCCTGACACGGCCATCTCATTCCCTGGCTATGATATTCACCACTCTGGAAGGAAAAACTCAAGAGGCGGCGGATGTCCTAACTACTCCAAACAGAACTTCGTTCAACCCCGTTTTGTTGATTCTTCCTTGGAAGGAATTCCCGGGACCGCCTGGATATCTGCAGAACAGACCAAACGACCTGTACAAGAAGGTTGTACGTATCTACCGCTGGCCCTCTTCCGCGACTCTGCTGCCGACATTTCACGTATTATCTCCACGTCACATGCCCATCCTCATTCGTCCAATTTTCCGCTGGGTGACTTTAGCCTGCTGGATATTTCCCGGCCTCCCTCTACGGGCCCACCCGTTATGCTAACGCCTGCTATGCTACGCTAACCGGGGACATGCAATCATTTTCACTAAAGATCACTAGTGGAGTCATCCAAAGAAGCATGCTGGGCCTCATTCCTTTCTAACTGTGTACCAATAACGTCTTCAGTGCCATATCCCAATGGTAAGACTTTCCTCTTTGCTGGCGGTATAAAAACCGCATACACCTTCCTTCCGCTGCACAAGCTCTTGCCTTTCACCACAATGAGCGAGATTTAGATTCACTGGCTCACTGGTCAAACGGCTCTCGCCCAAGCTCCTCCTCCACAAAATCCTGCATAACTTCCTGCCACTGTTCTCTCCCGACTGACGCTTTCACTATTGATGGAAATCCTATCCATTATTCAACGGGACTGAAGATCCCGGCCTCGGTTTCAGGGTTTTCTATGTGTAATAATGCACATTATCTCATTTGATGTCTCAAACTCACCACCCTTTACTAATCTCATCCCACACCTCATCTTCCCAAGCTTGGAACTATGGCAGTGCATGGTTTGGATGACCAGGTTGGTTAATAACCATTCCACCTAGCCTGTGTTCTACAACCGCAGGATCCCAAAACGGACCAACAACCCTGCGAACCCATATCGGCTTCGTTCCAACTTGTTACTTTGGCCGACCTGAAATGGATCCCGCTGCCCAAAGAACCACACATCCCAGCCATTCACCTTAAATGTGACGGCCGTTACAGGGTTCTCCAAAAACTGGAGCAGGTCAGGATAATGATGACACGGCAATGCCATACCCAGTTTGATAGCATAAGCGCAACTGCTCCATTCTTCATCTCAATCGTGCTGTCTCACCCACTCGTTCCATTAACCGCAACTACGACAAATTCCTCACCTGACCCCAGCCGCCTACATGACGTATTTATTCTAAACTGCTGAACTTTTGGTTTGAATTTAACCACCTCTATGTTTCTGTGCTTCCACAAAATTCAATAACCTTCTATACAGTTCGTATTCCGGCTTGCGTGCTGGCATCATCTCACCCTTCCACAGACCTGTTATGCTCGAATTCAAAAGAGCGACAGCGGTGTGTCTCTACAGCTCCCTTGTACATGTTTATGTGATTGCTGTTAACGCTTATCCGCTTTCATAATCCCTCCACCTCGTCATCACCACTCACACTTTTTTGACCCTGGCCATGAGCCCAAAATTTCAAGGCCACGAGGCCTTGGTAACGGTTCTGAGTTTTAGTTCAACATGACCAACTGAATGATGTCAACTCTGCTGCTTTACCTGATTTGATGTTCTGGTTTCTCGTTCTTTATCGTCACACCTTTCTTTTCCTGTGTCAGACAAGAACGTCTCTTGTTTAGCCCTCCCATGCTTTGCTTATTTTGCCCGCCACCTTCAAATCCTAACGACCTAATGTTGCTCAATATTCCCTCTAATAGCGCATGGTAACTGTGCTTCCCTGCACGTGCCGGATTGGTGGCGATCATGCCTACTTCGTATAATGCCCACGCTAAATGATTCGGCCCCTTTTCCTAGCTCCCTGTGTCCACAATCTCCGCCACTCGTGCTTTTATTCTGACAGTT